CTGAGTGGTAAAACAGGGATCTCTCGTACACGTACAGGATGGTTAGAACCTTGATCATCTTCGTGTGGGTGTGGTAGAATATTAGGGTTACCTGAAGTCTCTAGTGCAAGGTACTCTGGATCAGAGAAGACTGCAAGTGATCGCTCAAACTCTGCTTCTATCATCTCCAGGAATTGTTGACGCATCTCTTCAATGCTGTCCATTGCTAGTCTTTCTTGGGCATCCAGTGATGGATGATAGTCACTCATTATGATATCAGTCAATTCAATCGCTTTCTTATAATGATTTGTATTTTCTCTTTAGCGCACGGAACGAGCTCGTTCTCGGTTCAGTGTCAAAAGAAATATGAAGGAAAGTAAACAAATCCTGATGCTAAGTAACGGGGAGCGCGCGCATTTATGTCATAATGGTTATCGTGAGCAGTGACGGAGTGCGCGCGCTACAAATCAATCGATAATCGATTAGCGCGTGCCTAAAATACATTGAAATAGCCAATGTGCACGAGCACGAATCTCTAGCACAAAGCGTGATGGCAAACCGAGTACTCAAGGTTTTTCAGCTCCTCTAAAAATTCGTCTGACGATTTTTCCTTCGACATTTTCTATGAAACTGTAAGTATTTCAACAGACGAAAATAACAGAATAATTATTTACTGAAAATTTTATTGATTTCCTTGTTCTGATTCGTGTAGTACTCGGTTCCCCATCATGCTTTGTGCTAGAGATCAGTGCTCGTTCATATTGGCTATTATGGTTAAAATAATGTTTCTTCAACCAAAAAGAATTATTTTCGAGCTTTTGGTTGAAGAAACACTAATTTAGCCAATACGAAACCAACCTACAAAATAATACTTCACATTAAAATAGTTTATTGGGCGACGTACAAAATTAATCGATCATCGATTAGCGCGCTCTCAAAATACATTGACACTAGCAGTATAGAGCTGYTAAGTGTGACGTAATTTGAAAGAAAAACTACTTCCGGGTCCAAATTAATAATTACTTCAACAGACATTGTTCTGTTTTTTCTTCATAGCAGGATTTTTGTTCATATATTTGTTGAATTGTTGTTAATATATATATATAGTAATCATTATATTATTGTTACGGTTGTGGCAAGATTTTAGCGATCTTTTGAGTGATGATTGGACCCGGAGTACGTCACAACTTAAAAGCCCTATTGCGAAGGACAAAATCAATTGACTATTGATTATCGCGCTCTTAAAATACAACGAAATTAGTTTACGGATTTAACAAAATTATGAACATTTAAGATCGATCTGTCCATAAAAAATACCAAGTCCTTTATCTCTCTGTTGTAGCAAAGAGAAAGTACGTAAGGCGTGCGCAAGTAATCTTTCTTTGTGTGACATCTCGCAAATCTTGGTCCCGAGATCCATCTTGTGGCTCTTCTTTGGGCTTGCGATATCCGCTTTCAGCTTAAACTGTCTTGGAGRCCACACTTGAGTTGCAAAATTCAGTTGTAATTTCACAAGCGCCAAGCGCAATGTCAAGTACAGTGTCCTAAAAAAATCAAAAGGTTATCGATTAGTTCGTACATAAGGACGTTCATGGGCAAAAGATTCCAGCGCGGATTTTTAAAACGTTTTGCATGATGAAACTAAATGACACTAGAAGTTAACTAAGCAAATGGAAAATGGGGGGGAGGGGGGGAAGTTTTGCTTTTTTTTCCTGAAAACGCGCGAACAACGTAAACATGGAAAGCTTTCAAAAACGAACCATATCCCCTTTTTCGCAGAACTATATATATATGAAACAGTGGGCTACAAGTGTGGACATGGAGCCTTGACGATTCCAATTACACACTAAAAATGTAGTTTCGATTTGATCCCATTGTCAGATTTTTTACCCATCTAAAGTTGGGTATTACATAGTACTTGATATATTTTACTGGTACTATAGTAACCCCAAAAMCCATTACATGTACAAGTTCTAAATATTCTAGATCTTGTGAAAAAAAATCCACCAAACGACACTTGAACTGTCACTCGTTTTAATAGATATAGAGATAAAGCAAAAAAAAAAAAAAATTTAAATCTAAGCCCTGCCACTTTTTTTGTTTATTCTGCGGCTCTTTCATCGTTATGGAAGATTTTAGCAAGTTTTACGGGTCAGTTCGAAGGTTGGTGGGATGGATTCGGTTAATAACCCATGGAAAGAAACTGAACCCTCCCTCCCCTCCCCCCTTTGTTTCGGTTAATGACCCAAGCAACTATATGTGACCGAAGACAAGCTACCTCCAAAGGTCACAGTAGGTAGTTTAAGAAGCAACCATTACAGGGGGTTAACATTATGATGAGCAAGTATTGTGCGCTAAAACTTCAAAGTAATTCGTCCTCTACTGATGAACTCTCATAGCTTCTCGTTATTTATTAATTGATTGACAATTCAACAGGGACATTGAATGGATCAATGGGTTTATTGTTGTGTCGTATATATATATATGTGTGTGTGTGTGTATTGTAGCATCTACGCCGATTATTTTTGCCAAAGTACGTGAGGATGGGCTTACTACAGTACGGCTTGGTTTGGGTTACAGTATCATGCATCTTTTCCAAGGTAAACATTGTTTGTTTTAATTGCATACCCTGTTTCGTTATGGCGACACATGAAAACAATATTTCGTTTTAACGTTAAGAATTATGGTCGCGAGAGGCATAAAACAGCAACAACACAACTGAAAACTGGCTAAAAGTTTTTCTTATAATTCACTTGGATGAAAATTGCCACCAAATACATATGTTTTAGGATAAACACTAGTTTATAAAACAATGTTTGAACCAAACATATATCAGAACTCCGGGTCAGAACTATCAATTCAGCTGCAGAGCGCCGTGAAAAATGCTAGTCTAAATTCTCATTCTTCTTCACTATTACGTTCCGGCTCGTAAACAGCTAGGCTTGGGATGCCAATCTGAAATTAACTTTTGCTAAAAATGCTTAAAAAAGCAATTACTCTTGAGCGTATTTTTTGCTTTTTTGTTTTTTGTTTTTTGTTGTTTTTTTTTTTTACTCTCCCGTCTTAAATTTCTTCTATTTAATACATTAGCCTCAAATGAAATATTTTAAAATGACTTTCCAATAGATTCATCAATGACTCTTGATTAGTGTAGGCTAGCTCAAGAATGCTATACTGACCAATACGTATAATTGAGTGACCTAACAGAATGTAGTAGATTTAATAGACTGAAGTGGGATCATTTTATGGTTCGTGACATCAAAAACAACATCGAACCTGGGTCAGTCATAGCATTTTCCAACATCGATCGTATTTCAAGTAGCTTTAATAATATAATACGTAACTGCAGGTAGTCTATAAACGTTAACAATTTATTTTCTACCTGCTGAAAACCTGTTTCTTTTTTAGAGTTTTTGGGTGACCGCGGAACAATGCAACCTGTTGAATTCCGAACAAAAAGCCGCCTGCTTCGACAGAGGGTAACGACTTTAAAAGAGAGTTCAATTCTCCTTTTTGTCTCTAAAATAAAATAAAATAAAATTTAAACTAGCCTTTATAAGATTGCTAGTACTCTAATGCAATTGAAAAGAATTCAAAACAACTAAACTCCAAATAGTTCTTTGATTTGTTGCTACGGTCTTTAAAGAATTATATATAATTATGATGGTGATACGCCCCCGTATCCCCTCTCTATCTAGCAATTACATTAAAACTCCCTACCCACGAGAGGAAATTTCGGAGAGTCTGTCGGTTGACAATTATTGAAGGAATCCCTGGCGCGGAGTTAAAAGCGTTTAAAATGAACCAAAAACATGATAGCGAGTCTCATGGTGGGCTCTTTGTTGTTGTTCCCATACAAACTTACCTTCGTTTCTAATTTCAATCAGCCACAGGCAGCCCAAGCAGTGTTCTTGAGGCCTAAATAAGTATTTTTTTATATACTTCGAATTATGAAAATTGCTGTCAATAAACTTATCTTGATGTAAACTTACCGATTTATGAAGGTTTTGTCATTTATATATATATATATATTATTTAGAGGTATTTTTAACAGTGTGTGAGTTCTCCCAGTAAGAATTTTTTTTCTCTCACCGGGAGCTAATAACAAAACTTTCATATATCAGTAAGTTTACATCAAGATAAGTTTATTGACAGCAATTTTTACAAATAAAAAAAGCTTATTTAGGCCTCAATAACACTGCTTGGCCTGCCTCTCGCCTCTCGCCTCTCGCCTCTCGCCCCGTGAACTCAGCATCACATGTGAGTAAAGTTGGTTAGATCTCTCTATCTGAGGGGTTTTCTCTGGGTTTTCTGGTTCGGTTTGTGAATTAACCGTTCACTCTCCCAGAGATTTTATCAAGTTTTGATAACATTTCAAGATTGGCRGATTTCTATTTTCGGTTTTTCTCATGTCTCTCTGCCATATTCTTGGTACTGCGCATGCTTGAAAAGTAATATTTTGTGGAGCATGCGCAGTAAAAATAGATATGGCTCTGGGGTCGAGAGTATCAGGTCAGTTAATAAGTCGTGTATAATAGTCTAATGATAGTCTTGATTCTACGAATTAGGGCATTGACAACCACTGATGACGCTAGAGACGTGGCATGGATCGAAACCTGTGTTGTGAGGTACTTTTGCCTCCAGCCACAACCAGGACAAGACCCTAAAGCCTTCAAGAAACCACAATTTGAGCAAGAAATGAGAACCTTTAGTCAAGGCGACTATTTTGAGGTGATCTGTGCAGAATTAATTTTTGGTTAAAAGATTTTTCTCGGTTTTTGTTTGTTTGTTTGTTGGTTGGTTGGTTGTTTATTTGTTTTTACCGTTGCAGTTTTTACAGATTGACGTACCGACTACACTAACCATAGTTATAAAATTTATTATAATTAACAAGGAATATCTTTTTAGTATGCAGCAACAAGAATCGAAAATTTCTTTCTTCGTAACCTTGACTGGAAAGTAACCAAATCAAACCCAGATTTCAAAGCTAATGGATGTGTCAARCTTCTTGCCATCACTGAAGCCCGTTACCTCTACGTTACATATGTACTATTCATCCAAAGTGGTAAAACACTAACTGCATGTCAGCAGGACAGCAATAAAAAGTTCATTCTGCCAGCAGGCGTGTGCTTCCCTCGACCTTATGGCAGCGCTACTTGTACCTCTGACTACGATGTGGGCCTGATTGGACATACGTCAGGAATACTGACAAGTGCATTCAACGAGCATTTTAGAGAAAAATTTAACAAGCCATCAGAAGAGGWGTTTGACACTAACGTTTACGCGTATACCCTTGAATACGCTATGCCTGAGCTGTTTACTGGCATGACTGGTTACTTTAAGAACATCGTTCCTTACTTGGATCTGAAACCTTGGTATCAAATGCAGGAACTTGCCAGCTCCTATTTTAAGGTCAGTTCTTATTTTTAACTTGTTTATGACGCAGAATACCTGTTATAAGCCCCTCCATTGCTCCATTGATGTAATGACGCTGTGCAACCCCATATCCCTTTGACAATCGATCCGTACGTCATAGATTTTCTGAGCACATACGCGTTTCAAAACTATTACGCAGAGCTATCGTTGCATGAACACTGTTGTTCAAACGAAATGGACATTATTAGACATGTTTTTTGATTAGGAGAGATTTCAGGCGTATTTTTATGTTCCCCTGTTATAAGCTGCCCCCCTCCACCTTTACATGTTCAGTTTTTTTCAAAAATATCACTCAGAAATCGAACCTCAACCTTCTACAAACAAACTAAGACTATGAATTATTGTGCCAATCCATATGTTTCGATGAATTAAAGCAAAATGTCAATAGACCAGTTTCGAATTCCAAATTACCGCTGTGCTCCTTGATTACAGACTTATTTGCATAGGGTTAGCCTCGTATCAGTGTTTAAATATTCACAAATACCAACGGTAAAGTAAAGAATGCACAACTTCAACAATACAAACATTTTGAAACTTGACGGGCCTTGTCTGGAACACGTGAATATTTTGCACAAACTCGAGGCTAAGCCTGTGCAAATGAGTCTCTAATCAAGAAACACAGCTGTAATTTGGAATTTGAGAGGGGTCTATTATAAGTTAAGCTAAAACAGGCAGACGTATAGTTATTATTAAGGTGTTCTTTCACGAGACTCTTTTTTTTAATTAAGGTTGAAACACCCTTTTCTGAAGTTATTCTTTTAATATAATATTTAAGCAGGGAGCCCATGTGGGTGATGATAACAGATGTTCGTTTGGATGTAAAGGCCTGCTGTTGTCCATTCAACATGGACTTCTTTCAGTTTCTTTTTTGACCTTTTTTCTTTTTCCTTTGAATAAGCACCTTTATATGTATGCTTAAAGGTGGTGTTACACGGAACAACTTGCAACACCGATTTTTCGTGCAACGCTATTGTGCCATTTGTGTGTCGATTTTTTCGACATGTTACACGGGAACAACTTTTCGCGCAACATTTACTTTAGTATTCAGTCCACGCGCTGCCAACTCACTCACAGCTATCTTTTTTCTTCTTTTCTTGCTTTTATCATTTTTTATCAACTACAAAAGTTTTATCTTGTCTGTTTCAGTAAGTTTAGACAATTGTTGCAGTTGCTGTACTCTTTAAACTTACTTCTTCTACAGTCGGCGCTATTTTGTTGCGCGTCAAATCGGCGATGGACATGTTACACACATCGATTTGCTGAATATTCGTCATCTTGTGTTGCAAGCCTTTGAAGCCAGATCAAAAACTTGCAACGTACGTGTTGCAGAGTGAAAAATTGCGCGAAAAATCTTCCTCGACGCTATGTTACACGACAACGAATGTTGTGCAAAAAATCGGCGTTGCAAGATGGTCCGGGTAACACCACCTTAATTAAGATTGGTGTAATTCCCTACTTACTAATAACAAAATTACGTGCATTCCATTGCAGATGTACAAATTCAGAGACTCATTTTATAAGGAACTCAAAGATGACGCCCAAGCTAACCTTGGTGGACTAGGACTGATCAAATCTGTACCTGACCGAAACCGGTTCTTTACAGCATTTATCAGAAAGCTTGAGAACTGGGATAAGACCAAGAAAGCAGTGAAAAATATCGACGACCTGARAAGCGAACATAATACAATCTACGAAGACAGAGTGAAGGAAGCTAAAGACCATTTTGATAAGAGAGACAGCTACCAAGAGATTGTTCGGTACATGTCAGAGGTAAGGTCGTTCTTCGCACACTAACGCCACATCAGTTCAATGTACTATGCACATGTGGATTTTTTTTACGGACGGAGGAAAATCGGAGAACCACAGAAAACCCCTCGTAGCACGTGAGAGACTTACACCGCATCGAATTAAATCAACACAAATACGCTAGCTTAAGTGAGTGCACTCTAACGCGGGCCTCGTGCCACCAACGAAGTAGCATTGATTGACGCAGGCCACCCAGAGACACCCATGCTACCCATAATGTCATGATTATGATAATGATAAAATACCAGTCATTTTAATAGGGGAGGGGAGGGAGTGTTTGAGGTATATACAGTCAATTCAAAAAACGTTGTCGTCGACCGGCTCAAGCCTACGCGACTGGACCGAAAGGAAATTGGGGAAAAATCACTGAAGCGGTTAAATATTCGTTCTGAATTCATTGTTCCCGTTAGTAATAAGATAATAATGGCGAGAAACAATCCATCAAATGCATGTCTTTGGGTTTAGTGAAAGAAAAACRAAGTAGTTATGATTCAGTTCACAATTTCGAAAATATGAAGGCATTAAAAAAACGTCTCCTCGAACACTTCCCGCTCGCCTACGAAGGTTCGTGCTGTAAACCAGGCATAACTAGTCAGATAAAATTATGGAGTCAACTCGGCTTCAATGATTGCTACCCAGAGTTCCTTTCGGTCCTGCCGTGTAGGCTTGAGTTGGTCGACGACAACATTTTTTGAATTGACTGTATATTGAGCGTACCTTATCCAGGCGATTCACGTTCAAGTATCATAGGTAAACAAGTTTTAAATCGTAACCTATGTCGGGAATAAATGTCTTTGTTCAATTTCTAGATGTCAGTGGCTCTAGTATATGCAGCCGAGGCCTATCACACCAGAGGTGCCATGCGACACGTGGTTGGTGATCTTCAAATGCACTCACAGATTGTCAAGGCAACCACTACAGTAATGGACTACTGGGTGTCTATGATTGAGAACTGGGCTGACTCCAACAAGGAATATGAACACTGCACCGAGATTAAAGTAGAAGCATGTCTCCTCAAGATGAGCAAATACCTGCGCCGTACATTCCATGCAATGAAAAGCATCTACAATATTTTATCTAGGATCCCTAATCCTGGAAATGCACTCAGGGCCGCTAGGCTTCTCCCGGAGTATCCCTCACAACCCGACCCTGAGGTAATATCGCTGCAATGGGTTTCCGAATTTCGAGGTGTGCGAGAAGAGATTCCAGACTTCAACACGAATATCAAACCCTTTCTGGATACCATTGGCTGTAGTGGTCAAAGAGAAAAAACACCTTTGGATTTTGACTGCATGAAGAGCATCCAAGCTAAAGTGATGTCATACAACAACATCCTGGTGTCTGCTACAGCTAAAGATTCTGCAGCTGTTCAAGCTATCTTTATTCTAATGCCCAACGGACAACAGAAAACTGCTCCGCTTCCTTAGTATATCAAATGTATACATGTGAGATAATTCTACAATTATAGAATTTATAAAAATTGTAATTGCTTGAGTTAGAAATAAAAAATAAAAAAGTATGAATGAATATCTACATTTTTGATGGTAATATTTAACCATTATTCGCCAAAGGCAAAGTGATTACATGCGGTGAATATTTACCGAGTATAGTTTTGGACTTGAATATCAAAGAAAAATCGAAATTCGGGATAAAAAACATTTTATCATTACTTTCACTCTGGTAAAATCGAGCAGTGAATATCGTCTCAGAATATATCCCGAAACTATAGATCACCTTTTTGTGGAATGCTTAGAATCCAAAAATTTCTATTTTGACATCAGAAATTGGTTTTTAGAATCAAACATCTATTTACCAGCATGTAGTCAAGTTTATGTTATATTGGGTGTTGATGATATTAWGTTTAATTACATTATTTTATTATATAAAATGTGCATCTACAAGGCAAGGGAAAGAGATAAAGTTCCAAATTAATTTAGAATTATTCAAAAATTACTTAAGATACAATGAAAAAATTGAATATATGGTGGCCAAGGAGAAGAATATTATTTCAAAGCATAAACAAAAATGGGGAAAAAATATATCTCGTTTTAAATCCATAGATGTTTTTTTTCTTTCTAAAAGACTGACAAAGGCTGGGACGTTGTTGTTGTTGTTGTTGCTGATGTCGTTGTGTGTGGCTGTAAGTGTTGTTATACGCGTTAATATGTTTTTGTGTAATCGTTACCGGCGTTTGCATTGCTACGCGGCCACCCCAGACAAAAATCGCAACGTGCACTTTGCAATAGACTGCCGTCAATCGAAGCAATGCAAACACCGGTAAATTTTTGCATTTCTGTTTGTATTTCGTAAATAATACACTATTGTATGTAAACATCTAGAGGGTAACACCTTAATTGTAACTAATATACCTTTGTATTTTGCAAAAAAAAAAAAAAAAAAAAAAAAAAAAAATTTAAAAGCAAAAAAAAAAAAAAAAAAAAAAAGTCGTCCCAGAATAATCGGTCGCTCGACTAATCACAGCTCGAGAAACTCTGATTCAAGTCTAAAACCTATACTAAATATATATGTATATCATAGTACTGTAATGAAAGCTAAGCTAAGTATTCTTAGTTCTTATCTCGTGAACATCTGCCGCTCAACATTCCATTTACTATAGTGATCATAAATCTTGAGAACGCTTGCAAACGTATAGGATGTTCCCTATTGATATATGCTTTCTTTCCTCTAAGTTTGAATCTTTTTAAGTTTTCTTGCTTTGTTTGTTTGTTTGTTGTTTTTTTGTTGTTGTTTTTGTTGTTGTTGTTTTCCTTTGTCTCCTTTTATCGTTCTTTTATCTTTCTTCTAACCAGTTAGATTATTTTTGGTTTTTTTTGTACTTTTTTTATTATTTTTGTCCCTTTTTGTTCTTTGTTTTTTCTCTTTTTACTGAGTTTTTTCTTTTCAATCTCTCTGTATGTTTTTATGCAGGTAATGTGTGGCAAACAGCACAACATGTAGTTTTAAGCTTCCAATACGTCCTACGCGCGAAGCGACAAAGACATACAATAAGCAACGTACGGTGGTCATTAATGTTTTATATACATATATATTGCTTGCTTGACTCCTACAACCTAAAAAACAAATATGAGAACTAGACAGGTGTTAGAGCAGCTCTTGTCGGCTAGTTACGGCAAGGAGGGTTCACAAACGTTTGTCCATCGTCCCGTGTGGCTGCAGTTCAGTTTTTTACATGATGCACACTAAAAATCGAAAGGAAAATATTCAGGGACAGGCCTATTCAAGCGGATCCTTATAGAGGTAGGAAACTTTATTATATAGAGACCTTTAGCAAGACCTTCTTGCTAGGTACCGTAAACCTCAAACTGCAGTTCGACGTCAGGTGTTCTCCGTCAAACGTTAGACATTTAGCAAGGCGTCATAACGAAGTTTTTGTGAAAGAGCCACCATACTGAATTTCACTGATGCCGAGTGTTTTTCCATGTTTGCGGACATGTTTCTGGGCTTCATCCCCAGAGGTTAGCGGTAAACATGATGCTAAAGGTCTCTCTTGCCATATATAAATTCTTCATAGATTTTCGATGCAATTTAAACATATTGGGTACTAATATCGAATCAGTGATAGTCTTCAAATTACATACATGAAAAATCTTTTCTCGTTAAGGTTATTTTTACAATGAAATAGAATTAAAAGCCTAGCGTTATTTGGATTTTATGAGCTTCTATTATCTGTTTTCTTGCTATTTTCTTGTCTTTTCTTGTGTTAACTCATTATTAATTTAGAGGGTTGTTGATCATTCTTTAGCGTTGTTCTCGTCGAATATCAGTGTGCTTGATCTGACGAATTTTGCGTATTGAGTACACAGTGACTATAAGATTCGATTATAACTGAGAACGGCGAAATTAATGCAGTTACAACTGACTTGTTATGAAATAGAATGTTGAAATAGATAATACTGGAATATGGGCTGTGYTCAGAAAACTAATAAGTTGATTTGAATGATGATAGTTAAACAAACAAGAATCATCTTTGACTTTTTCGATTATATTCTGAATTGAAAATATATTAGGTCAAGTTTAATAGTTTTTAAAATTTTGATGTGTGAAATTAATAAGTAAGAAGGGAAACTTATCAACATATTCGTTTCTGAAAAGAGCCATTGTGGCTAAACGAGTCTTGAGCGTTCCTTCACTTCTCATACAGTTTCATATCCGTTATCAATAAAACGTTTTTCCAACCTATTTCGCAACTACAGAAATAGCAAATACGTTTTTTCCTATAACCTAAGCTTTCAAATGATATAAATTTTGCTTTCAGAACTTATCTACAACTGAAGTAAAGAGAAAGTAGTTAATGTATACGAAAACCGTGTGAACTGTAATGTTCTAACTGAACTAAACAAAGGGCGCCAAACAAACTTTGAGAAAACAACCTTGAGCGTCCTTTCACGTTCAATTTCTCAACAACAGAAATAACTATAGCTAATGCTTTTTTTTGTCCGGTGTATTCGATTAAAAGTTGAAACTTGATGATTTGTTTTTCTAAAAAACGCTTGAAAAGGAATACTATTTCGAGTTCGCCTTTGCTCAGTCTTAGCCTCGATTGTGTACAAATGTGTTTTTTTCTTTTATTAAGGTCCATTGTATAGTAAGGAATATATGTACTACGAAACAATACGAGTAGATTAAAATGCCACGGGTTTTGATTGAATAGTTGAATATTTTAACGCACAACTGTGGCTATAAAGGCTGAACAAAGAGAACTCGACACTGGAATCATACTACTATATATTTTACTAAGCACTAAAGTGTGCTCCAAGAACTCCTCCGAGACCACTGAACTTATACAAACAAAGACTACACAGAATTCATGGTCCTGAAGATGAACGGCATCTGTTTTTGATTTGAAAATATTGCACTTTTAACAATCGATCGAGAAAATTATTTCCGTTTTCATTCAGAACGAACGGGCGTCCGCCACGACCGGGCTCGTTGCTTCTATGAAAATATGGGGAGTCTTCAAATATGATGAACTAAAAACCTGCTGGAATAAAACATCCAAAAACCGTGCCATTCCTATGCTTTTATACGGAAAGAAATGCTTAATTCACTGCTAAAGCATCACTTCGACAACTCTCCATTGAATACGGACACGACACAACGTAGTGGCTCAAAAGAGTTTTATTTCCAGTTTGATTCATTCAATTACACAACTTAGAAAAACATTATGATTCGAAATTAACTAAATCTGAATTTCTAATTAATTAGATTGAAAAGGACCAAAAAATTGCTCAAAATAAACACTTTTTGATATCGATAAAATCTGAAAGCTATTTAAACAATGGTCAATGCTTAGCGTGTGTAAATCTATTGATGTGCACGCGGATAGTTGGGAGAATTGCTTAATTCACTGCTAAAGTATCACTTCGACAACTCTCCAAAACTCGATGGATGCACGCTAACCAAGTACGATCCTTAATTTCTTTATAGGTGGTGAACCAATCAGAGCGCGCGTTATATCTTAGTTATGTTTTAATTTTAAATAAACAAACCTGTTCAACAAAGCATGCATGCCCAAAGGGAAACTGACTGATTTGATAACAACTTCTCCATTCGATTATCTGGAATTCCTCCGATCCATTTGACGCCAATAAAGATGGATCTCGGCTTTGTCACAAAAGTTATGTTATTTAAGAAATTAAATGCTGAAGTTTGAATAAGAAAACACTTTGCAAACGTCAGACTACCGAGCGACTTGAAATGAATTACGGCAATCCCTTCAAGTGTCAAACCGTCAACTGCTGTCACTTTCTGTCAAATTCTAGCCAATGAGTGCATTTCTTTACAAATTTGACATTTATTTACGCTTGACTTGAAAAATCCAAACATACCGAGTTAAAAAATTTTAAAAATTTGGTATAACTTTCCTCATACATGTATTTCTTAAGCTTTAATCCAAATTGGCAATTGTCGACACACAAATCACGATAATTTCACGCTTCACCTTGAAGTCATGACAGAGTGCACACAACAAAAGTTCAAAGTTCACGCGCACGCCGAATGACAATTACTTATTTTCTTTCTGTCAACTGTTAACGTATTTCTCAGAATTTAAAAAAATGAATTTATTCACGGGCAATTGACTAGTAATATTTATTTCTCTCCAGGAATATACGTTTTGCACCATCACTAGCCAGCAGCGCCATAATCCAGCTTGGGCTGCCTGTGGTTAGATGGAAGAACGATAAAATCTCTAAGCTCTCGGGAATTGAATAATTTCTCATGTAAAACGATTGTCTTGTTCCTGCCATCTAACATGGCTGTCGTCACGTGATGGTGCAAAACTTCTATATGGAACTGATTCTACTCATATCTCAATATTAGAGCGCATTTCGACACACTTTTGAAAAGTTAGATAAATTTGTGTGACGTTAAGAAAAAAATCTTATTAATTATTTCTTCATTATCGTAAGACAAATGGGGGTCATGGCATACATGTTAGGGGGTCATGGATGTTTGTATGGGGGTCATGGCATACATGTTGGGTGGTCATGGATGTTTGTATGGGGGTCATGGCATACATGTTGGGGGGTCATGGATGTTTGTATGGGGGTCATGGCATACATGTTGGGTGGTCATGGATGTTTTTATGGGGGTCATGGCATACATGTTGGGGGGTCATGGATGTTTGTATGGGGGTCATGGTAATGGGGGCTAACCTTCTAAGACAATGCTTATGAGTATTTAAAAGAGCTGACCAAAAAGCGTTGACCAGTTCCCAAGTTAAAACATTAATTGTTTCCGCTAAGGTGAACCATGGGCTGGGTTATCATAACTTAGTATTGAGTGGGACAGAGGCGCTATTAGCCAATCAGAATTTTTTTTTTTTATATCCCTTGATTTTTAATAAGTATTTTGTGTCATTTCTGTTGCATGGTTTATTTTCCCGTCAGCACAGCACTGACCAATCATGGCTCAAGATCAAACCAAAAACGCTTGGAGTGAGCAAGAAATCCCCAAAGCAGAGACATTATCTGACATTTGGAAAGATTTTTCAGGAAATTCAACTCTTCATGGCCTAAAAAATGCCGTCCTAAGTCGATCAGTGTACTTAAGGGTTGCTTGGTCGTTGGTAGTCCTAAGCGCTTTTTCTTATCTTTTGTATTCAATAATACAAAGCTGCAACAGATACCTGGAACATGGAACCACATTTCAAATCAGTCAAAAGTTCGAAGAATCCTTGATCTTCCCGGCGATTACCATTTGCCCTAAAAGCACTGCAGACAAGAAGAAGCTATTCGCCCTTGACACTGACCAAGACTTCCATCAATATGGGTTGAATATCAGCGCATGCGTAGCTACTGCCGATGTGCGTGCAGGGATTCCTTGCGGCTATGCTTTGCTGTGTGCGTGTCTGTCTACAATAATGACAGAAAAGCCTCTTATTGAAGGTTGTGACGAATCACTACAAGAGAAAATTATTGATGCTTTGAAATTCCACAACGTTCAATTCAAGTTTGAGGAATTTTTCCTAACATTTTCTCAGACCTGGAGAGAAATGGTTGACTGGTGTCAATATGGTCTATATGAATCAAATTGCACGGCACATTTTAGGCCCTTCATAAATAGCGATGGGATTTGCTACATTTTCAATTCAAATAAAACGAATGCCAGTGAATCGTATTATCCCGGAGTCTCAGGTGGATTACAAATAGTACTCAACGCACAGCTTGACCGGGTCTATTACCCAAAATTCTCGGAGGGGTTTTCAGTGTTCGTGACGGAACAGAGCGATTTCAAAAGTGATGTAGGAATCAATGCAGGAACAGGATCATTAACATCGATTTCGTTGGAAGTACAGAAGGTATAAAATGATATTTCAAGTGAAATACTCGCACTTGATTTGCCAACTGAGCTGCCAACATAACTGTTCTTTTTCTTTTAGTTTAAATATCAAAAGCATCCTTATGGTGCTCGATGTGGAGAGAGAAAATTAAAAGGAGAGTTCGTACACTATTCATATGGAGCATGCTATGCTCAGTGCTGGAGTGACCATTTGTACCAAATGTGTGGTTGTCGCCCTGCTGGATATGGAGGTAAATCATTATAGTGTTCTCTCAATAACTTTGGTAGTTTACTAGACACATAGTCCATACTGTAATTATTGTTAATTGCGATCCACACGGTGCTGCTGGTCGGGCTCATGATTTTTTTTGTCCTTACTACCATTATTGTTGAAGTGCGATTCACAGGATGCTGCTGGTCGGGCTCGTGACTTTTTGTTTTGGTCCTTACTACCATTATTGTTCAATTGTGATTCACAGGGTGCTGCTGGTCGGGCTCATGATTTTTGTTTTGGTCCT